AGAGCCGGGCCCGGCTGCGCGGCGCTGTCGGGCGGGGGGCGCCGAGCGCGGCGGCGGCGCGCAGGGCTCGGCTCGCCTGGGCTCCGCTCGGCTCCGCTCGGCTCCGCTCGGCTCGGCTCAGCACGAGCCGCGGCTCCGGCGCGTCACATGCCGTGACGGGATTTGTACCGCGGCCCCTGCGAGCGGCGACGAGGCGGGAGCCCCGCGCCCCGCCGCGCCCCGGCACGGCACGGCACGGCACGGCCATGGCCCCGTGACGGGCGGCCCCGCCAGGTAAGCGGCCGTTGCGGCCGTTAGCGGCCCGGCCCGGCGCGCGGCGGGGAGCGGGGCGCTGGGAATGAACGGCTAGTCAAGGAACCGGCTGCTCCCGCTCCTTTCCTTCCTGTTGAGGCGGCTTTTATTTTTTAATTTATGTATTGTTTTATCCTGCTTTTTATTATTTTGGTGTCCGCGGGTCTTGATTTATTTTGATTTTTCCTCAGCACGGCTGCAAGCCGCCCCGCGGCCCCGGGGGATGTGTTTGGGGACAGGCTCTGGGCAGCGGCGCGTTGCGGGCGGCGCCCACGTCCCGCCGTCGGTAGCGGCCTCCGGACGCGCGGCCGGGTCCGTGTGCGTGTGCGTGTCCGTGTGCGTGTCCGCGTGCGCGGGTCCCGCGGCCGCGCGGGGAGCAGCCCGGCCTGCGCCTGGCCGGCCCTCCCACGGGGAACGGGGAGGCTGCAAGCGGGGCTGTTCCTGCGCACGGGGCCGGGAGAACCTCTGTGTCCGTTCCCTGTGTTTTCCATGTGCATCCATCCCGCAGGGATCTGCGCAGCAGCAGCYGGGCGTTTGGGTGCTCGGCCGCCCTGAACCTCCATTTGCAGCTTCGTGTTATTCGCGGTGTGCAAACAGTTAACGCTCTGCAGCCCCGTGCGCTGCTTCCCTCCTCCTCCCCTGCCCTCCTTCCATTTTCTGCACCCCCCCACCCTCCCAGGGCAAAATGCGACCCATCTGAATGCTCAGAAACATCAGAAAAGAAGAAACCATCTTGGTATCTTGTGATGTATCCCCTGGAAGCGCCACCCAGGCGCTGGGCTGCTGTCCCGCAGCCCCCAGCCCCTTGCCCCTGGCACTTGTCCCTGCTGACGAGGCGGGGGGCTCGCGCGCGTGCGACGCCGTCCCGGAGCGCGGCCGCCGCACAGGGTCCCGCGTGGAAACCGCCCGCGCGCGCGCACCGGGACCCGGCGTCGTGTGAGGGCACCCGGCCGAGCTCGTTTCCGAAGGCTTTTCTCGGGTTTTTGCAGCATCCGCCCCGGTTCCCTGAGGTGGGAGCACCGGGGTGGCGTTGGGAGCGCGWGGCTGCGAGAGGTCACCAGAAGTTTGTGGGGAGGAGGAAGAGCASGGCGCCCTGGGGAGCGGGGCTGGCGGCCAGGAGGGGCCTGCGAGCAGCTGGCCCGGAGCAGGGCTGGAGCGGGATGAAGGTCAGGAAGAGAGGGCAGAGGGAAAGCGGGAGCGATGGGCACCGAGCGGGGCTGGGCCCGGCCCAGCCAAGACTTGTGGGCGTCCTCTCCTTCTCTTATATGCGTGCGGCACAGGCGCTGCTGCCCAAGGGAGCACCCACATATACGTGGCTTTTCTTTTTTCCCTTTSAATCGTATTTTTGACCCGTGACCCGAGCTGCTGCGGTACAAAACTGATCTGCTCCTGAGCACAGGCAGCGTTGCCCTCGATAGGCCACGCGGCTGCTGGCGTGGAGTTTGAGCTCTTCCCTTGAACGGGTAGGTGGGCTTGCAGGGACGCCTGCTAAGCTGCCTTTGATGGGCTTAACCCTCTTGCTTTCAACCCCAAATTAGAAACAAATAATGAAGCTAAGAGGTGGGAAGGAGCAGCCACCCCTGGGCTTGTGTTCCAGTGGGTGCTGGGGCAGGACGGCGGCTGAGGCGAGGAGAAGCTGCCTGCGCCGCGGGGAAAGCCGTGGGAAGCAGGGAAAGCGGGAGCGCRTGGTGCCTGCCGTTGGAGCGAGGGGTCCGGAGTGGCTGAGAGCTCCTCACCGCAGGCCTCGTGCCGAGGTGGGGCGCGGGGCGGCGGGGTTCAAAAGCCCTTCAGCACTTGAGCTTGGCCTTAGGGAGGTAGCCTGTTCTCACCCGCTCACACACCGTTTTTGAAGAGCAGCACCAGGGTCCACCATCCAGCAGGATGCAGGGCACCAGGATGGACCAGGTTTGCAGGTTTGCAGGTTTACGCAGGTTTATGCAGGGTTGGACCTTGAGTTTATTTGTTGATGAAAGCTGTGGATCTCATGTAGTGTGGCCTCAGTGCAGCATATACTGCAAAACTGGGGCAAAACGGAGAGAAGATGATCCTGGTGTGAAGTGCTTGTGTTTCCCCCATGCCTGCCTTTTTCTAAGGCTTCTATTCTGACGGCCCTCCCTAAAAGGAGGGGAGGCACTGGCAGAAGAGCCAGTGTCAACAGCCAGTGCAGCCTCTGCTGGTCGGTGCTAAAAGATGTGACTGTGTTTGATGGAAGTGGTTGTGTCGTGAGGTTCTGGGCCGAGATCCTGAGAGTTTCCTTCATGTGGGTCGTGGGTTCCTAAGGAAGACTAATGGCTGTGACCAGCAACTTGCCTCTGCACAAAATAGGCGAAACACTGTGACTGCCCCTTTCCTCCCAAAGGAAGTGAGGTTGGAAGTGAAAATTAGTTTGTGTCTCTCCTTTATCTTTCAAAAATGTACTGTACATTTTTTTTTTTTAACCGAGTCATCAGATGCAATTTATTTCAAGTATTTTTAAGTTATTTTGTGTGCCTTGCTGGCCACGTGCTCACTGGAAGTTGTAAGACCATTTCGCTCAGATTTGCACCGGCTGGGCTGGAAAAGGGTGTAGGGGAGTCTCCTTGTGGGGGCCCTTTAGATTAGAGCAGGGGGCAAAACCTCCTTAGAGGTCCCTTTGCAGTGGAAGTCATGAGAGGGACGCCCAGCTTCACAAATGATTATTAGTGTGTGATGATCTGGCCAGAATTGTGTAATGGCACCAAGCGAGAGRTTTTATATCCCATAAACTTGGCCCTTGCTTCAGGGTGAACTGCAAAGCTTTGGAAAGTGGATGGCTCTCCAGTAAGTACACRTAGGTGCAAATTGTTTGGAACAAATCTTGAAAAATAAAAACAGACCCAGAAACAGACTCCAGGCAGGTAAGTAAAAAAGAACTAATTACTGTTTTTCTGCATCTATATATACGCTGTGCCAYGTGCTCTAGGTGACCCTGCRTGTGCAGGGCGTTGGGCTAGATGATCTTTAGAGGTCCCTTCCAAGCTTAAGGACTCTATGATTCTATATGCATACGTCATTTAAACCTGCATATATGCTTTTGTGAATGACCCAGCTGCTTCAGCAGTTTATTCGTTTATTTAAAATAGCTTTGTAGTTCACCTTGAAAACCACTTCCTGCCATATGGTAATATTATTTCTCTGTGCCACATTTTTTGCTAATTATCGAGACCATTTGCTTTAAGATAGGTGTTTTTAATTTCACAGCCTTGCCTGCCTCTCCTACTTGATCCTGCCCTGGAGTCAGGAGGCTGTGTCTGCTCATTCTCCATGGCAACAGGCTGTCATTTACTTATTTAAATTTAATTAAAAAGCAGCTCTCAAATCCTAGGCGTCTTATATGTTCTTTATATTGGGGGGGAAAAAAAAGTATTGGTGGGTCAGTGTCCACAACAGATCTGCCAACCTCATAAATAAAATTCTCCTCATGTCTTCCTCCGTGCATCCCCTCYGGAGGAGCTTAGGGGAGGGCTGGGTGCTGTGGCCCATGCTGAATTTCAGCAGGTCGGAGTCAGGAGGCTGGCGAGGGGCAGGAGCTGCAGTCCCTGAGCTTTGCTGGGCACGTCAGCCTTTGCTGGCCGGTCAGGCTGCGCGATGGCCTCTTCCAGCCCACCCGTCTCCTCTGGTCCTTACGTAGCTGCTGAGGGCGCTGTGAAGGGGCAGGGAGGGTTTGGGTGGCCTCGCRCCAGCCCCTTGGACCCTGTTTGAAAAGGGAGGGCAGCTGCGTGTTCTGCACGGGGAGCCCTGCTTGTTGGGGCAGGTGCTGTCTGCAGCAGATCCAACTCATGTGCAGTTTTCCGGGATAGCCCCAGGTTGTCATGTCATTGCAGGACCGGTGACAGGGGCACAAATGTGTGCCCAGACATCCGGGGGCACAAAYGTGTGGAGCTGCAGCAGTGAAAATGCAGAAAATGGCAGCTCTGCTATAAATGCGCTCGCCCCGCGTGAGAGATTTTACAAATCCAAGTCCTTTCTGGTTTTTATTTTTATTTGTTGTCCTGGAAGCATAGATGTTCCTTGATGCCTGCCTGGTACAGCTCTTGGCTTTAAACTAGTCACAGCGCAGAAGCCCAGAGCGCCCTGTTGCTTTCAGCACGCTTGGTATTCGTGTGCAGGCTAGGAAGAAAGGCCTTAATCCCAAATTAGTTTTCCGAGGGCTAGCTGGACAAAGGCTACTCTGTGCTCACTGGGGATAAGGAAACATGAGGACAGTGACAGGCGGTTGCTGGCAGGAGGTGTCAAGAAGGGACCTTTGAGGACACGAGCCAGGTGGGGTAGATAGAGGAATGTGGAAGTACAGGGAACTTGTTAACCCAGAGGTATTAAATGTGGCAGTAAAAGGACAGATTAGAACCTGCACAATGAATAAAGTGCCAAAATTTGCACTTCTTTTTGTCTTCAATACCAATATGCCAATTCTTGGTGGAATTATTTTTGCCTGGAAGGGACTGTTCGGGTGACTCAGTCTTTAGATTACCTGTTGTTTTCTTCCTAGCAGAAGCTGGGCCTCCTTGAGCCGTGTAACTAGATTTAGGTCCTGCTTTTGAGCTGGGCTAACGTGTGGAAGATGAAAAGCTGGCCTTACATTTTTATTAAGCCTTAAGGAGCAGTTATCATCAGAGAAGTGCCTGTACAAAACTGCACCATATTTTTTTTTCCTTGGTGTTGCTACTCCCAGGGCTTTTTTCGAAGTTACAGGTGGCGATTTTTTAACAACAGACTTCGTTTTTAACTCCTCTTAGCCTTGCCAAAGCCTGTGTGGCTGTGACAGGAAAAGTTGGATTCAGTCCTGGCTGGCTTATCTTCATTGATAAAATGGTGCGCGGAGTTCTAGCTGCCGATTCCCGGTGCRGGAAGCGGGAAGGCCGCCGCAGGGTCTGAGAGGGGACCCTCGGTTAAACCTCACTAAAAACCCAGTGTGTATTGGGTCTGTTGGATGTACTGAGGGGGAAATCTGAAATTTCCTGATG